TCGATAAGTTCCGAGAAAACCGAAAATCTCTAAAATCCGGAAATAGTTCCCAGATTAAGTCTCTGTGTATCTATATACATACATATATCCTTTTCTTTATATCTATATTATATCTTTATAAATATAATTACCTTTGTATTCATCTTTCTCCCCCTATTCTCATCCTCATATTTTCCAATATTTATCTTTCTTTTTACCTTTATGCTTATTAGTTTCTTCATCTACACCTTCACCCTTCCCCAATTTCCGTTGAATTTGCGAATTTACTCCCAATCAATCAACCGCCGCTAAAGAAGTTTCACTTCAAAAACACTTATACCGTTGGGAACAAACTAATATTTAGGTTAGCAATATTTTGAACAGTTTTCGTTACTACTCGTTTGTTTATTACGTTTCCATAAAAGCCTAATTCATTATATATTAAATACCATACGCATAAGAGACAAAATTTGCCAAGAGTACGAGGAAAAACTTCATGTCAGCATTTTGTTCAAACTCCACCACGTTGCTGCTTCTTAAAGAATATTTTTCTACTGCGGTTTTTTGTCAAGTTATACGAGTTTAACTTTTATGTCAACAGCAACCTGCCCGAATATGTTTTACGTTTTCAAATCTTGGAAACTATACATCGGATTAACTTGAAATTTTATGATAGCCTCAACAAAAGTACTGCGTACTATATTCCCAAGTCTAAGAGGGATGCAACCACCTGGATGAGAAATCTGGTCACTTTTCGACTTTTACCCCGGGTACGTATGTGAAAATGCAAACGTCAAAAACGACAAAATTGAACCTTTACCAATATAATTTTTTTCCGCCGAAATCCCACTGTGCGTCGTAACGAAGCCGATTCGAATTCGTGCTCGCTCTGTGGCAAATTGGTTATGTATTCAAAGGAAGAATTCTGTGTTCGTATGGAATAGTAGCTTATGTGGAAAAGTTGGCTTTAGTATAATGCGGCATTCGCAGCATACTTTTGGCAAATAAATGTGCAAGAAATAGTTCCGATACTAGCCAGACCATATCCTTATTAAGTCTCATCAAAAAATTCCTTGTCGTTTAAAGAATAAAGGTAATGATGCCACATCATACTAAAGCCAGCTGCCCAACATAAGCTACTATTCCATATGAAAACAGAATTAATAACGTATGTATCTTGCTAAATATTTATAAGCAACAAGAAAATAAATAAAAACTTACCAGTTAAACAAATTTGGTTGTCGCTCCACTCTCTTGGTCACTTTACTTTCCTCTCTAGCACAGTGCGTAGGCAACTGGCTGAGTCAGTGGTGATCGTCGGTTCGAATCCTACTGAAAGAAGTCTGATGAGGAAATGTGGTGATTTCCGAAATAGCTATCACTTCTACCATTTTTTCAAATTATTGTTGCTTTTCCACAATAAGTTTTCATAAAAAAACGGCCTCAAGCTCATACAAATTTTTGAATATAATTTCCTCTCTAAATGTATTTCATTTAAGTATGTTTGAAGAAATTAGTTTCTATTTCTCCACTTTGGCACGTCTCAGCCGAGAACACTCAGTTCGTCAATAATAGAAAGCAAATACTTTATCTATTTGCTAACGATTGTAAGCATATACATATGTATGTACATTAAGGCGTATCACGAAAAAAAAATTTAGCATTTGTCAGTGTAATAAAAAAAATTTAGGCACCAGCTAAAAACAGCTAAATTGCCTTTTTTGCTACAACTTTCTTATTTTATGTCTGATTTTTAAAATCTTTATGTTGCCGAAAAGGCCTCACTCAGAAATAACATCCCTAAATGATTACGACCTTGCTAAAATCGCTTAGGCTTTATTCACAAACAAAAAAGTTGTAATGTTTTCAAAATCCGGCAAAACCCACCACTTAAAAATTACTAATTTTGCGCTTTAATGAATAATTATGTGAAGCAAAATGTTTCCTGGATGAAAGAAATATCCATTATTTTCAACCGTGGAACGAATTATTAACGTTGATTTCGACTTTGGTGAAAATCTTCGTAGCAATGTCATCTACTAAGTCCTTTTTGGAGGTGGTGCTGATTGTACGTCAAAATATTCTTGGAACTCTTCTTCACTAGCTATACTATGGGCATAGCCAAATGTATACGGCTGATAATTAGTAACTTTTACTGCCTCCGGTATTTCCTCGATTGCAATCTCGCATCCTTTGTTATCAAGTAATAATAACTGCCTCGATCCGCCTTGGTTAAAAAAAAAAAAAATCATTGAACTTGATGGTTTTCCCGCTGTGTCGATAGAGTTGAATATTTGCCAAAATCTATTCCAATTTACTTAAAGAGATCCGGAATACCCGACTATATTCTTTGTCTTTAGAACTAATTTTCGATTTCTGGGCACACTTGCAATGCGGTTTAAATAAATTAAATATTTTGTTACAACCAGATTTGTTGGGAACTTATTGCTGAACATATTCTTTGGTTCATTAAATAGGTTTTATAGTAGCGATCTTGTCTTCTGTTAAACTCTACACTTTCAAGAAAATTAATTTTTGATTGCAAGTACTTTTTTTATCTTATAAATTGTGATCTGGCGTAAGGTACATATGTATATATACAAACGTACATGCATACTTATTTATGTATCCACATACTTATGTATTGGTGTACTGTAAATATTCACACTTCAACACCGGCTTGGCAAGTCAAACAAATAGGTGGATACCCGCGTATATCCGTATGTACATAAATATCTGACTATTTGTACATACATATGTATGTATGTGTGTATGTATATGCGACCAAAGTAATTTCAACTATCTTCAGATTGAGTATTTGTATATTTTGTAAACAAATGTTTTCGTTTAATTTTCACCCGTCTTGGCATGAAATACGTAAATAAAATATGTGCATACATATTTGATGTTTTCCAAAGTAGGTATGCAATGTGTACTTGCAAATAGACATACATACATACATACATATGTATGCATATTGGAAATTATACATATAATCTATACATATACATATGTACATACGTATAGTAAATACTCTTGCAAAAATATTTAAGGAAAACATAAAATATTTGTATTGAAAGATCCGCATACCGGTAGGAACATACACATATGTACATATACCTTGTTATGTAAATAGTATATCTACCCAGCTAGCAAAATTGCCAGAAATCTGTTAGATATCCGTCAGACTCGTCAGCAAAAAAGTCAGAAATCTGTATGATTTTGGCCGATATCGGTCAGAGAAGCATATGGAGAGGTTGACAGGAAATCTAACCGACACGACGTGGGAAAGTCTGACCGACGATTCTGACGGATGTCTAACAGATATCTGACCAAATAATCATGGAAGATAAGAATTATCAGACGTGTATGGCAGAAATCGGACATAATTCGATCAGACATATCGGATAAGGAAATAAAAAAAAATCTCCGGATATTTCGCCCATAAATCTGTACGAAACCTGTAAGACTTGTCTAAATAGTCAATTTTTTATTCCGACTTGTCTGATATCAGAAATTGTCTGGCAAATGTGCTAGCTGGGTATGTTCATATTAAGGTGAAATATATATTTACGTACCTACGGAGCGACTCAATCGTGCATATACGACTTTTATGGCTAAATACGTAACGTGAAAATAATTTTGGGGATAATATTTTACCCAAAACAGAAAAGTTTAACTAAAACATAAATGATTATGCCAGGTTTAAATAAAATTTTAAAGATCATTTTTTTTTTTTTTAAGCTCTGAATAGGAACTTAATATCAACCAATATGCTGCCTGAGTTATTATTTTTGGACAGAAATATTTGTTCTATTGTTGATTCGATCGATGTTTTGTAAACGAACATTCTTTAACACAAATGCAAAAAAAATTACAAAAAATTAGCTATATTTTAATTTTTGCTGTGTTAAAGTTGGAGCGTTTTTAAAGCACGAAGCGAATTAAAATGAAAATGTTTTTGGAAAATGATCTGATATAGAAAAAACGGTAGACAGGTACATAATCTACGACTCAAAATTAAATTCACGTGTCCCGGGGTTTTTTTTTGTGATTTCTTCTTTGTTTTATAGTTTTTTTTTTTAAGATTCTCTATAAAGATTTTGAGTATGCAGTTTTATAGTCTATAAAGTTTTAGTGAAACAGAGTGCAAGCTTCAATTTGATTTTTGAAATTTTGTACTGCCATATTGCTGCGTAGCACACAAAACTATGTACTTATGTATGTCTAACAATTTGTTTTTTATACGAAGAAACTTTTTGATCTAAAAACCGCATGCAGCTTTAAAATAGAAAAGATTTAAAATTTTTTTTTGCTTGCGGTCATGGAAATGGATATTTAAAAAGCATTGTATACTACCCTGCAAAAATTTGAGGACCAGGTGGTCCACTGGGTCGTAGTTTTAAAGTATGTGCAAATGGACCAGGTTGCATACTAGGAGCTTGTTATGCTCACCTGGACCACTTCAAACGTACAAACATGATATATGTGCGGAACACCACCTCTTCGTGACCCATCGGCAATATGATTCGGTTGCCGAATGTGCCATGGTCCAAAAGGAGTAGTTTTCTAGGTGGTCCCGTGTTATGCAGCGGTGGACCAGAAGTGGTCCTATGTTATGCAGCGTTGGACCAGAGGTGGTCAGGTCCAATGACATCGCAATGTTAATGTTACCATTTTTTCTCCATATATTTGGACCATTTTGGTTACTAGTGTTGGTTACAAGGTAGCGTGGTCCTGTACTAATACTTAACCTAGTCCCACTTTTTGCAGGGTAGTTTCAGGCCAAAAAAAGAAAAAAAAGTTAATCTTATGTATTTAATGGACATTTTAAAAGTACAGGTAATGGTTCGAAAATAATTGCTTTTGGAATGTGTTAGTGAAAATGAAAAAAAATAAATATGTGCAAAATTGTTAGCATATCTTTTTAAAGGACTAAAGAAAACTGCTGCAGCGTAATAGACTATTTATTATCCATGGAAATTAAAGAAGCAAATTTTTTTTCTTACCATCTCTTACAGAATTTCCTGAGAAACGTCCCCAATTATTTACCGAACATGCGCGCTATGAGCCGGGTGATATTTTACGCGCCAACTGTAGTACACCGCCGTCGCGACCGCGCGCCGATTTGCATTTCACACTCAACAATATACCGGTAAGTAGAAAATTATATTTTTAATTTGAAATTATAAACACAAGTTTACATACATTTGAATCGGTTAATCAAATTATCAAAGGGAATAAATCGGCATTTTTCCGATATGGCAAATTTGATGCAGTTCAACAGAGCTTCTTCAAACGAACCGACCTGCCTCAAAATTGCCATATCGAAAAAATGCTGACTGATTACTTTTGGTGTAAAACCAAGAGTTCAATTGCTGCTGGTCTCCAATTACATCAAAATGTCATTGAACTTTCACCTCAAATTTATTTTATTTAAATTAGCTTGACAATACAAAAAAATAGCAGCTAAAAAATGCACGCTAATTAATAACTTATTTATGCTGCTATATAAAGTTAGAAAATATATATACATATACATATAAATCATTAAGAAAAGTAACAATGTTTATCCTTATCCAATTATTAATTACTGGGCGTAACTGCGTAACAATATTGCACGTGCCATTTTCTTCAGTGTGGCACATCACGTTGCATTTTCAACTTACCGGACACAACGTTCTTAGTAGTTTTTCGGACGTTAGAGCACGGTTGCACGTGAGTTGACGTCTGTCACGTATCATTAATTTGCCATTGTAGATTAGAGCGGGAAATGTGATGAACCATATTGTTGACACCAGAAGTGGCAAGCTGCCCGTTAAATGGAACATTTTTTATTATATTTTTGTGTGTGAAGTTTTCGTGTAGCTGTTGGCTGGCTTAAATTAAAATAGAAAATTAAATATAGCCTGGGATGTGGGCGTGGTTATTGTTCGATTTTAAAAATTTGCAGCCGTTTGGTATATTTTACCAAGCCCAACAACTGCGCCATGTTTGGGAGAAATAGGTGGAGCGGTTATCAAGATATACATATAAGTACATGTAATCAAAAGTGGGCGTGGTCACACACATTTTCCAAAAAATTATAATCTTATTTTTCGCTTAAAAATCATTGTAAATATATATTTAGAGCAGCTATGGTCAGAGAGAGCTTTTACTCTGCAACCGTGTATACAAAATGTATAGAAAGCTTAAAAGAGCTTTGTCCTCGGGCAAGGCGGTGCGCACCACCGGTTAAGAGTGAATAAGCTTAAGTAGTTACTAAAATATCGCAGTTTTCGTGTTTCTGAAAGTTACCGTTATACCGTTTTTTTTAAGACTCTAAATTAGAGTAGCGTTCTGAAATAGGCCTAATTTTGTTTTTACACGGCCTTTTTTGCATGGTCTCGATTTAACATGGTTTAGAAAAGTAAAAATTTATTCCGTTTTTACACGTTCGATTTAGTACGCGTAAAAAAGCAATTTTATTGAAGTTTTTTTTTTGGGTAGTACCTTAGCGAATTAATCTTCACACGAATCTAACCAGTTTGAATTATTAGTGCAGAAGCGAAGAAGCGAAAAATACGGCGAACGAACAGTGAAAATAAATGTTAGGTATCATCACTTCCACATTTTCGCCGTTCACTTCGCCGCATCTGTCAATATATTGAATACATATATGGCGACTGTTATTTTACCCCGCTTCGCCAAATGCATTCGCTTAGCAACTCAAAATACCGCTCTTTATTAACCGTAGTCTTTTAGAAATCTGGTTAGGGAATTCCCCTTTATAATTTATTTTCGTAGCAGCTTAAGTATGTAATTTCATATTCATGTTACTTTTACTTTAAGATTCGATTTACCTTTACACACTTTTTTTTGTGTGAATGACTTGTTTTAGTTAATTTTAGAGTGGGTTTTTCTATACATATATTTCAGTCTATTTCAGAAATTTTTTACTCAACTTTTTTTTTCCGAAACGTATCTACAGTGTGAAAGCATTATTATTAATTATGCCTAAGTTCTATTTAAACTTGTTCATTGTCGCTTCTGCTTAAAGTAATTTTATATATTTACTTGCATTGTATTTATAAACTTGGTTTACATTTAAAAACCTAAACAATTGGCAATTCTTAATGCATGCTCATCAATAACTTCGAGCAGTTCACTTTCGCTCTATTCGGCATTGGTGACCACAGGCTCGTTATCCCTATTCCAACTTATCATAAATCAAAATGCTGACTGCACGTTCTTAGCAGTTGCTAGTAACTAAATCGCTTTTTTCTCCATTTGGCTAAATAAGGGTATTGCTAAACCGATTGACGGCAATCATTCATCATCGCCACTGATGGTTGCTCTGCGGCGAAACGAGGTATAACTGCCAATCTTCATGGAGATTACCTTTTTATTAGCTGGGTGAAATGGGTTCGAAATTTGCTTTGAAAAGGGTCTTCCTTATGGTGAAATTTAATGTTAGTTTAAAATTTCATCTAAGAGCTTTAAAAAAACAATGCGCAAGTGTATAACTTTAAGACACTTTAATTAGACGATGGCAGTTTGATAAGTCAGTTCGGTTTAAATAAAATATATTAAAAGGGGAATTAAAATTCTAAATATACATATTCATCCTTTAGCTATATACATCTAGTTCAGCGTTTTTCCATTTTTTATCTATTGCAAGTAACAGGATTTTTCAAGGACTTCAAAATAGCTTTTGTGTTCTTCATTCTCAATTCTCGAACTTTATCTAAGTACCGACTCTTGGAAGCACGAAGCACAATGTGCATGATAGGAAAATTTTAATGCCTTTAATAAGGATAGGACACTAATCATAAAGAAGCATGTGGAAAGAAGCTCCAAGGTACTAAATATTAAAAGAAAGCATTAACAAAAACAGAACTAAATTCAAAAATATGTAATATTTTAAGAAAGTAATCAAAGCGGAAAATGAAACACAAGCCCGCTAAAAAATAAAAGCACTCCATTTGCCTCCTCTTCCTTTTTGACTTTAATTCTAAGCATATAAATTAAGCAAATTCTTTGAAATTCCTCATAATGCGATTAAGTCTCTTTTTTTATTTCTTACTCTGTTTCAACCTTCTGCTGGGTGCCTCCATATACATACATAAGTATGTGTGTGTGTGTGTGTGTGTATAAGTACTTACTGATATGCTTATGCAATTAACATATTTATATTATAGTATATTATCCTGAGCGTTTGTCTTTAATTAGCAATGCGTAAAGTCTTCCTATTTACACATGAGTGGTTGGGTGGTTGTTTGTATGCATAAACAGCGGTGCATGTACTTGTGTGTATATGTGGATAATTTTGATGTAGCTACCCACTAGAACTTGAAGGGAGATCTCCCTATGTGAGGAATAAAAGAGTATTCCCCTTAACCTGATTTCTGAGCAATAAGAGAGATTTGTCGGTTTTGTACTCCTTTATTACTCGTTTAGGAGTCAAATAAGAGATCTCCTAAGCGAGCGACGAAATAAAGCTCCCTGGGGCATGATTTGGGAGCAGTAAACAAGATTTCTCGGTTTTTTACTCCTGTATTTCTCGCTTAGGAGCTTAATGAGAGATCTCCTAAGCGAGCAATTAAAGAATGGTCCCTGAGGCATGATTTGGGAGCAATAAGAGAGATTTGTCGGTTTTGTACTCCGTTATTACTCGCTTAGGAGCAAAAAGTGATGTCTCCTAAGCGAGAAATCCAAGAGTATTCTTTTTGATTGATTGGAGAGAAATTTGTGTTTTCGAAAAAATGTATCATACAAAAAAAACAACAGAAAATATTTCTTATAGAAGCATAAGGAGGACACAATAATTTAATTTGGATAGCACACAGATTTTAATAAAAGTCCGTTGGTATGTACTTAAACTTTTGTTTAAATATATTAAGTATGTATTGTATTACTTATAAATGTACCGTTAAATACTTTACAGATTGCGCAAATTGGTGTCAGCATTTAAGTGTGACCCCCGGGTTTAAACATCGCATGGGCGACAAAGATGTCAGATAAGCAAGGTCACCTTCACAATTTCCCCGCTTGGTGGATTCCTGAACTGGCAAGCAGCCTTGACACCCAGGAAATCATATAGGAGTACATACTTATATGTGCATATAGGTCCATATAATTCAAATCTTATCTTACCGTTTTGTTATTATTATGTTTTAATTTCATATGATTTCTCTGCAATATAATTCTAAAATTAAGCAATTATGTAAGACGTATCATTTATGTTTTATTTTTAAGATCTTGTAATATTGCACAAATGCACGTGATTAAAAAGTTAAATAAAAAAATTTAATAAATAGCAAAATCTATTTGGCTAATGTAAAATGTTCGGTATCATTGCTCTCTTATTACTCCTACAGGAGTTTTTCGGGATGTCTCTAATGGGAGCACTCCTTTATTGCTCGTTCGCGAGGAATATGGGATGTTTTCTATGTGCACTCCCTTGTTGTCTTTTTGGGAGGTTTCTGGGAGGTAACTATGGGAGTACTCCCGTATTGCTCTATTAGGAGGTTTGTGGGATGATAATTCTGTGTGTGCTCCCCGATTGCTCATTTAGGAGGTAAAAGGGATTACTCCCCCTCCTAGGACATCCAATGTTAAAGGGAGTATACAAAATTACATGCTTATACAAAGAAGCATAGGGAGCAATGGGGAGCATTCGTATACTCCCAAGGGAGTACTCACCGAGCAATCGTACGATGCTCCCAAGTTCTACTGGGTAACAGAAATTTCTTGAGAGTTTTATTATCTTTGTGATAAATACATATACATACATACATACATACATATCCATGTCAAAAGGAAAAGAAGAAGGTTGACTTGACTGGAATGCCCCATTCACTTTATTACCCAAACAAAATATAAGGAATTTTTTCATGAGACTTGGTGAGAATCCGCTGTAATAACTTATTATACATACACTGAAAATAAAATTTCGTACAAATGCTACTAAAAACTTTCGTAGTCTTGGTTTTCGTTCAACTTTCGTTCATAATACGAACAATTTTTCAAATCCATTCGTAAATATAACGAAAAGAGTTTCGTAAGGCATTAATAATACACATATGTTAGTGTTTGGCCGAGCTTCTCCTCCGATTTGTGGCGTGCGCCTTGGTGTTGTCACAAAAAGGGGAGGGATCTACAGTTTTACTCCGACTCCGAACGGCGATTGTATTTTTGTGAGAAGCTATTTTTCATGGCAGAAATACACTCGGAGGTTTGACATTGCCTGCCGAGGGACGACCACTGTTAAGAAAAAACCTTTTTTCTATATTTTTGCGACGTTGCTTTGACCAGGACTTGAACCCAGTGCTGATGAGTGAAAGCGCGCACTGCTTACCACTACACCACAGCGGCCGACTGGCATTATTTCAGTACAATTTATGAAAACTTTCGTTTATTTTACAAAACCCATGCGTAAATTACCGAACAAATCTCTGTACGAATAATAGTGTATTTGAAGGAAGGCATTCGTAATATTTACTTGTGGTTTTAAAATATACGAAGTCTACAATTCTGTATTCGTCACTTACGTGAAATATGAAATTGTGTGGACATTTTTTTCTTTTTATGATGGTTACACTTGGAGTTATGGGCTTCAAAAAAATAGTAAAAACTAAAATTAGAACTTTTCTAAGCACTTTTTCGTATTAAAAAAATAATCATTTAAAATAATTTAAACTTCGCGATTTTGTGAGAAAATTTCTCGCTTAATAAAATGCGAAATGAATATTCCAAAAAAAAATTTGTTTTGTAAAACCACACCGGAACTGAAAATTTAAGAACAAAATCTGCGAAACTTTGACCAATATTTTTAAGTTAATTCTTTTTTTTTTTTTCAAAATATAGCCTTAGATATAATTATAATACCCTAACAGCCGTTTCACCAAACTATTTAAGTGGAAATTAACTTTAATTTAATTTTGTATTTATTTCTCATTTAAATAATTTTCAGTTTCAATAAACTATTTATTTAAATGAGTAAAAAGTGGTTGCAAAACAGACTAGGCTAGCGAAAGCTTTCATTTTTACTGAGAGCTTTTGAAAGCTTTGGCACGCTGTGTTGTAAAAGCAGGGCTGGTATACAAGTAAGCAGCAGATACACAATGATCAGGTGATTAAACGTGTAACACCTCTGAGTGTGGTTATTCTGATTTAATTTTTATTTAAGTGGAGAGCATAGGTCACTTAAATCAAAATTAAAAATTGATTGGTGAAACCAAAAATTCGAAAATTAAACTTAAATAATTTGGTGAAACTGGCTGTAAAAGTTGTATGGCCTTATTCATAAAAAGTAAAGTAGGTTTAAGGAGCTTTATAAATTGACGTTTTCATACATTTATGAATTTATAAGCCTTCTTTAAAGCTACATTAATTTCTATGAATAAGGCTATTAGAGTGTGATCTGCATTAGTTCGGGAGGAACGTAAACTTGTTCAAATACGTATACCTTGCACTAAGTATGATGCTACGTGTAGTTTAAAAATTGGTTGGGCACCGACCGTTTCAAAATCTCCACTCAAATTCTATCCAGTGACGATTTTGTAAACAGTTTGTGTCTACACTCTGAAACCACATGCTTATATTGCAGAAGAACAGTCGGTTTATTTCAATAGTCTTCGGGAAAATTTAGACAAAGGAGAAGTGATCGTACAGTGTGATTTTGCAGAAAATTTTATGTAGTTTTGTTGTCCAAAGAGCCGCGCAGGCTTTCCATCTTATTATTTTATTTTTTTTTCAATACGAAAAAATACTTTAGAAAAAACCTAATTTTAATTTTTACTATTCTTTGGAAGCCCACAACTCGAAAGGTAACCATCATATAAAGAAACCAAATATGGACACTATTTCATTTTTCCCATAGGTACAATTGCCCAAAATATAAAGGAATTCTAATGCATCAGACCGTTTTCTCTGTTCGCTTGACGCGAAATGCCTTAAAAACATGTTTTTTTAAATTCGTACAATATACGAATATTTTCGTGCAATATAATAAATTTGCCGGCAGTTTAATATTTCATCGTATTTGTATGTACCGCATATCATTGCGAAATTACCTGTTGGCTGCTGTGAGACGTTTAATATAAATTTAAACGTTTTGCAGAATAATTTTCTGGGTAAAAATTCAATAAAATATTAAATATCAATTTGTGATTTGGTTTTTATAATCCTTCGCTGAGCTATCGATTAATTGTAAACATTGCTACCTGTGATTGCTGGCTGGCACTGGCGAGTGAGTGAATTTTAATAATACTTTTTGTTTTTTCTTGCTTTTGTTTTGTTGATTTTTATTGTTGTTGATTTATTATCATCATCAGAAAAAAATCAAACACTGGTGTGCGTGCGCTGCAACATTAGAGAAACAGAGAATAAATAATTGTTTTCGTTTGGTAAGACTAAACAAAGCTCATTCTTCTTTATCTTCTTGTATTATTATTTCGATAAATTTACGATAAAAATAGAATAAAATGGTTTTGTTGTAATTCGTACTATGGGCTTTACAGTGTGGCGAATAAAAGCAATAACCGTAGGTTTTGCGAAAACAGATTTTAAATAAGTATAAGAATAATTTGTGAGCATTCTACAAAAATTTCGTAAAAAAAAAACATTGAAATAGTACGAAATCCATTAATAAAAAATATCTGATGTCTCATATTTTCGAAGTATGTACGAAAACACTTTTGTAAAATTAACGAAAACTTTCGTGGCTGAAAATTATGAAAAATTACGTAATATGTACGCAAGTTTTCATTATATTTACGCAGATTTTATTTTCCGTGTAGTCTTCTACGTAAATTTCATGTCTAATATGAGTCCTTTATACTTAAAAATTCTCCCTAAAAGGTATCTCTACACGCTTAAAAGGTAGCGGGGAAAATGTGTGAAGCCTACGTTTTCTTGTAAAGCGAATTTCTTCGATTTTTCCGAATTTTTTCAGACTCTCATTCTCTCTGCCCAATTTTCAAGCGTGACCATGTTAGAGCGCATAATATCCATTAGCGTATTAGGATATTTACCTTGAATTGCAATTTGCCGGTCGTCGGCGTAAGCGTGGAGGTGGCACCCTCCTCTCGCTAAAGCCAACAACAAAGAAACGTCCATCAATCACAAAAAAAGACAAATAGTCGATTTTTTTTTTAAATTTCTTTCATCGTATTATTCCTTAATTTCCTTCCTGAAGTTCACGTAGGTACATATATACATGTATGTAGTACAAACTATATACGTATATTGATAAGAATATTAAAGCCATATAATTTGAAAACAAAGGCAAATAAGCACTAATATGAAAAAAGCATGCGCCAAAAGTGCCACACAAAATTTAATATCGCCTGCGGTACTTCAAAGCTTGAGATATTTACCATAATAAAGTTAATGACACGTTTGCGTAGTCTATTAAATGAAACAGTAGTATGTATATATATTCTTATTGGTGTACGCTTTCGTACATATGTGTGCACGTTCTTAAGGCACACGCTGATTTAGATGTGTAACACAAAATCTTAAAATATTCTGATGCGTGTAAAATAAATTACATGAGCAGCAGTCAACGCGGCAGACTTACTTATACATAAGTCAGTATGTTCATACATACGTACTAGAGTCCAGCGCAATTGTATTTGCCGCATTTCATT